AAATGGGGGGGATTAGCGGTTCTCAAGGGGCCCCAGCCTTCAAGCGGGACGGGGCCGTAAACAGTCCAGGCTCTGACCTGCAATCAGGCCGAGCTGTAGCCTTTTATTCACCCCACCTTTAAGCAGGGCTCAGGTAGGGGCGAGCGCCATGCGCAGTCTATGGGGCTCAGATAGGGGTGACCGAGGAGCGCAGGTCCCCTGGCCCATGGAGGGGGAGTCCTGGCACCCCAGGAGTGAGGTGGCAGGGAGGACACGGGCCCACCCATCTCCACCGCATCCCAGCTCAGGGCTCTAACAGCGGCAGAGGGGTCTGCCACCGGGTCAGCGGGGATCCGCCCGCAACACGCTGGTCAGCTCTCGACCAGACGGTTGCCTGGTTTCTCCAGGCTGCTTCCTACTGTCCCCCTCAGGGGTACCTGTGTCCGGGGGTCGTCCTCGGTCTCCCCAGGATTCACCGCCAAGGGTAGTGGTAGCAGCTCCTCAGCGTCAGGAGTTGCAGGGCTTTCTGGTGGCTCGTGCAGACCCTCGGGGCAGCCGCGGTTCTCGGCGCCCTGCCGGGGAAGACGCAGCTGCCTCCGAACTGAACTGCTGGGCCGGCCTTTTATACTTCCCCTTCCTGTCCCCGCCTCTGCATGCGGGGCGTGGTCCTCCTGGCTCCGCCCACCAGGCGGCTTGCGGTGTTCCGCTTCCGTCTCGAGGCCACACCTCCTCGCTACAGGCTGGGTTTCACCCTTAGGAGATCTTAGATGTTTGCTTAGAGTTGGTGCGATTTGTTTGCAGGACCACCCATAGGCTCATCAGCAGCTGCCACCCCCTCATCCAGCCCCACATTTGCTTTTCCACCATTGCTTGGGCCCAGGGCGTCTCTGCGTCTCACCGTGATGCTCCCCTCCGGATGGGCAGATATCTTGTAAATTGCAACATAGATGTCACCCATCTCGCGGTATCTCCCCACCCCAGGACAGCAGCGAAGGGGCAGTGCAAATTTCACTGGGACGCAGCAGGGGTCGTGATGTAACCATTCGAGCCCACTGCTTCCCAGAGCTAGGGACAGAACCCAGGAGTCCTGGCTCCCAGA